ATAAAGCGTCATTTTCAAACTCCACAATAAAAAAGAAAAGGCTGACTCTGTTCTTAAAGCACGTGATTTTCTGCTAACACAGCTGGGGGAACCAGCTGAGGACAAGAAGGAAGAAGAAAGCAAATCTGATGGGAGTTGGGCTCGGTGTCTTCTGACGAGGACTCACTCTCTGAAAAGGGGGCAGCTGCCTCCAAAAGTTCATACAAATTGAGGATAAGAAAAGATAAGAATAAATAATGGCTGAAGAACTCTGATTTGTGCCTGAAAATTCTGAAATAACTTTGGGATGCTCTGGGGGTTTCTCTAAACAGTTAAATGGATGGTTAAAAGATAATTAACCTAGCATAACCAACTATGTTCATTGTATTATTAGCATTTTAGAATAACACTGAGATAAGCTGATGTATTGATCTCCTACTCTTGGGTTTTTAGTTAGTAGTGGGTCTTTTTTCTTTCTCCTTAGATGTTGGCCCCAGTCACACAGGGGGGAAAGGCACGGCCAAAGAGCGGCTTTTCTGAGCTGCATCAAAATAGGCGCGCGGCGGCGGGATCAGATAGATCCCCCAAGCTGCCGTGCAGTTGCTCCCCGGCACAATTAGATGCCGGGGGGGAAGCCACGAAACGGAGAGCGAGGCAGCTGGCTGCACATGTGCGCACATGCGCAGTTTGGCCAGGAGCTTTGAATGCTGCGAGAGACAGGCGCGCTGGCAATCCCACGGCCGCCCTTGTTGTGGAGTTTCAGGTAGGTAGTACTCTTTTCTAGGTTTATTTTTGATGCGCGGTTTCGCTCGGAAAGGACGGATCGGGGACAGGTGCGCTCCGCTTCCCAGATGTTGCAGTGTGATCATGCTCATTTGATGCGCCCCCGATCCGTCCCTCTTGCGGGGCAAAACCTCCTGTGTGACCGGGGCCGTAGTTCCCCTTCCTATATTTTCAGTTATATTTCGTAGTTTGTGAAAAAAACCAATAAAAAACTCCCCTTAGGGGGATTAAAAAACAAACAAACAGATTTCACCGCTTTTTCTTCCGCTCTCCCCTTAGTATTTTGTTGCTTAGTTCATGCGTATGGGAGGGGCCCCCTCCCCCGCTTGCTTTTTTCGCCGTTCCAGGGGGGTAGCTTTCTTTTTAAACTCTCGTTTTGCTTGAACCCGACTCACAGTTCATTGTTGGTCATACGACCTCGCTTGGCATACGTTCAAAACGCTTGATCTCCAACGCTTGTCCCGGTCAGCGGCTCTAGATCCATATGGACACTCAGCAGCAGGACCATCAGGGCAGAGGAGTGCCTCAATTCCCCAGCATTGCGCTGGCGAAGAGGCCACCCCCAAAAAGCCCCATGGCTAGGAGCCTTTTGCCAAGGTTCTGGGGGGGTAGCGACCCATCGCCCCGCCTCCTTTCCGCTGGTGCGCAGATCACATCCCCGGGAGGTCCAGGAGATGTGTCCGCCAGCGTGTCGCCAACCGGAAGTCCGCTGATGCTGTTGTTCACTGGTTTGAGCAAAATAATTGCGTGGAAAGTTATCCAAACTAGATGGGATAATGGAATCAAAGTTGATACGGACTTCTTCCATGCTGGCATCCTCTTCTTGATCCTTCTGGAATGCAGTCACTGGAGGAGACTCTACCACCATCGGCTCTGCAACAGGGTCTTGAGAAGTTGCCGGGGTGTGCTCACCTTGCTGCTGCTTCTCAGACCGACAACGGGTTACCACCCCTTTGTAGACATCCGTTTTTCGGCTGGGTTCCTCAGGAACATATTTAAAGTCATTTAAGAACTGCTGGTAGACATCGATTTGCCGGCTGGGTTGCTCAGGAACATTTTCAAAGTCCTGTAAGAACTGCAGGTAGACATCGTCCTCTGGATTGGCCTGCTTTTCTGCCATCTCAGGTACATGGACTCTGGATTCCACAGTCATCTGCTCCACCAAAGCTTCCCCCACAAACATGGCTACCGGGGTATAATCATGCACCGCTACCTTCCACGATCCACTCCAGCCTTCATATTCTATAGGTATCCGTGCCACTGGGTGAGCAATCCCTTTGGCATCCTGCAGGCGCCGCACCCATCTTTTCTCACCTGGGATGAGGTATTTAGGATCCACAAGAGAGCGGTGGATGGTGGTCAACAGGGAGCCAGTGTCTCGCCAGGCTGCAACACCACGCCCGTCCACAGTGACTTCCATGCGGTAGCGCCAAGGAATCCATTCTGAATTGAACTCAGGAGGGGTGGGGTGGGGGCCCACTGGAATCATGTGGTATGAGGGGGTACTTGCCTTCGGGCACTGCTTCCTAAGGTGTCCCAACTCGTTGCATGAAAAACACCTGGGTGCTTTCGTCTCCGCTGTTGGTGACTTCTCCCCAACACTCAAGGATACAGGTTGCTGCTCCTGGGATGGCGGTCCCTTTATTTCTGGCTGTTTCCTGGGTTGGGGAGGGGACTTAGGGAACTCCCTCTTATGCCAGTCCAGATTAGTGCGGTTCTTCCGCCCTCCGTAGGCTTCAGCCAGTCGCTCTGCCCACTGTCCTGCCTTTTGGAGGGTATTAGGGCTCTTGTCCACCAGGGGGCACCTAATGTACTCAGGAAGAAGAGTCAGGAACCAATCAATGCACATCAGGGCCTTGACGTCAGCCAGGGTCTTGGCATCAGCGACCTCCACCCACAAGTCATAGGCTTTTCCCAGTCTGTGTACTAACTCTTGGTAGGACTCTTTCTCATCAAGTCTGATCTCTCTGAAGCGCTTTCGGGCCCCTTCCTTGGTGAACCCCACCCTCTCTCTCACTCTCTGCTTAAACAGCTTGTAGTCTGTTCTCTCTTCACCTTCCATCTGCCCAGACACTGAAGCTGGGACACCACTCAACTGCGGTCTCAGCTTTTCCATATACAGTTCTGGGGGAACCTTGTAATCAATACAGACTTGTTCAAAGTTCTGCAGGAAGGCCTCAATGTCTTCTCCTTCCTTGAACCAGGGGTACTTCCTATGGTCCTCTTTCACCATGGCATCTGTAAGAGGTTGGCCCTTTTCTAGCTTAGCCATCTCCAATTCATGTGCCAGTCTCATTCTCTCTCGCTCTAATTCCATCTTCGCTGCAGTCTCTTTCTGCCTTTCTCTTTCTATCTCCAGCCTAGCTGCAGTTTCTCTCTCCCTTTTCTGCAGCCTTGCCTTCTCTAACTCAATCCCAGCCTGCTTAAGTTGCAGCTGGAGACGCAAGGTCTCTTCACTCAGGGATGCCATTGCTTTCTCCGTGTCCTCCATTGACATGAGACCTACAGCCCCTACTCAGGTCTTGCGTCTAGCAACAGGCATGTCCCAGATCGGAGGAACATGCACTATCTAACTCTGCCTCACTATCCAGTTGACCCGACAGCTAGAACGTAAAGAAAACCTTTTCACCACACTTTACCAGACCCTTACTTGGTCTTGCAGGCACCTTCAAACAATGGGGCTTCCTTAAGCCCAAAAGCAAAAAAAATAAAAAAAATAAAAATCTCTCTCTCTGCCAAGGCCAAATAACACTCTGCCTCACCAGGGTCCAAAATTAGTTCATCCCACCGCTATAGCCACCATGTTACGGCTCAGGTGGGGTGTCATCTGACGCTGCCACCACTCTGGATTTAGGTTCTCTTGAGAAGGCCGAGTACCCTCCCAAGACCTTCAGACCTCCCTTTAGGCCGAATAACAGGCATGAGGACCAGGCAGAGTAAAACAAGGAAAAGGTTTATTTTATGGAGGTCAAACAACAAGGTGCAGAATAATCACAGTAAGTGGGTGAAAAGAAAATAAATCAAATGCCCTAACGCATCTAAGTATACTGTCCCTAGCTCACTATCTCAAGTGGCCTTACACTACTCACCCCTCCCTCAGGATGAGGGTTTTCCCCCTGCAGCAGCCTTTCTTCTGGCTCTGCCCTCTGGAAGAAAGAACAACTCTTCCTGCTGCTCCAGAACCTTTATTCCAAGCCCTCCTCTTTTCCTATTGGTCCATTTTGGCTCCAAAACCTCCCAGGGGCTTCTGGGAGTTGTAGGCCCAGCCTCACCTACTGCTAAGCCAGGCTCCTTGGGCCTAGTAGGCCTCTGGTGGCACAGCCCAAATCATGACAGTGATACTTTCAGAAGGCCCCCCATGTTGGTCTACAGTAAAACACCTAGATTTGATTCCAGTAGTGCCTTAAAGACCAACAAGACCAACAAAGTTTTTGGGGGGGGGGGGGGAGAGCTTCCCAGAGTCCCGGCTCCCTTCTCTGACAGAAAGAGCCTTGACTCTCGAAAGCTCCTACCCCCAAAACCTTATTGGTCTCTGAGGCACTACTGGGCTCGAATCTGGCTGTCCTTGACGATGCTCCACAAGCTTTCGGACTGCAAACAGCTGGTTTGGTATTCAGAGCAAAAGTGAACTTGGGGAAAGGTCACATAACAGTGGCTGTTGCCACCTCAGCTGGAAGCTAACTGAAATTTGCCATTTAAGTAATTCATGACGGGGGAGAGTTATTCTCCGCAGGCTCAACCTCGGTCGAAGCCTAGTAAGTGTGGGAAGTCTCTCTCCTTTTGCACCTTCTGGTTCCTGCCTTGCAAGGATTCACTCTTGGGTGGGAAGGCAGGTGAGCCGCTCAGAGTTTACTTCAATATTCCAGCAGTCCCAACACAGGGAACCTTTGGGGTCTTTTTGAGCATATAAAGGGGCTTCTCTTGATAATTCAACAGCACTGCTAGATACCATACAGGAAGGCTACAGTCCCAAGCCCAGCTGCCCTCATTTCAGTCCAGGACAAGTCCCACCCTCTAGCTCTGTGCTCTCAAAACTTCTGTCAGCCGAAGCATTCCTAAATGCTTTTTTTCCGAGAGCAGCCTTGGCACCCCAAAAAAAGCAAGAACTTTTTTTTTTGAAATTCTCATCCTTTAATGGTCAGTGAACTTCGAGCTGGTTCTGTAGAATACAATTAAACAATATACTTAAAGGTTTCTCAAAAAAAGAGAGAGAGAAAAGAAAAAGCTCACAACCCCCCCCCTTCCTACGCATCGTTTCCGTTCATTGACATTCCATGATCGACTTCGGCTCCCACGGTGCTCTGCTTCACAGCAGATTCACGTCCGGGCATAAGAGAAGACTGAACGTTCCCCCCGTTTGCTGCACCGACCAGTGACATGTTATTTTTATTTTGTTTCTTTAAAAAATAACAAGTGGTATAAACCAAACCGCTTCCCCAGGTGCCCACCAAGAAGGGGGGGAGGGAATCAATCGTTAACTGTGGGAGCCTTTTTTTTAATACGCTTTCTTTCGTGTCTTTTGTGGGTTCCTCCTTTCCCCGACTGCACAATCATACGGCATAGAGTTCATAAATCTTCTTTACACAGTACACCAGGGCAGCCAGGGCTATCGTGTTATGCAGTCTCTTTCTGTGGAGGTCGTCCTTCCTCACCAGAACCACAGGAGTGGAGGAGGTGAGCGTATGCAGGGGCAAGCGGGAGAGTTTATAGGCGTTGTACTCGACCTGGTACTTGCAGCAGGGGTCGAATTGCCAGGAGATCCCATAGAGGGTGCAGCAGGCTATGCTCAACACGCCGGCGGGCAAGGAGATGTAGTGGGAATAATCTGCAGGAAGGACCAGCGGGGTGAAGAGGCAGGCGGTGCCCGCCAGCACGGCTGTCTTGTGCAGGCAGTTGCCGACGGTGATCCAGCGGGCCGTCTCGTCCCCAATGCGCGTGGGCTCGATCACGATGTATTTGTACTGGGCCTCCAAGGCCTGCTCCAGCTCGTATTCAAACTGGTCCTGAGCATTTTCCCCATTGTAGATTTCATGAACTATGTAACAGTCCGTGGCAGACAAGGCAATCCTGTGGGAAAGAAAGGCAAGAATTGGACTTGGAGACTCACCAATCAGCATTCCTCTCGGCTAAGCCTGTCTGCATTATCGCCTGTGAACCTCCTAAGTTTCCTGCGCTGAAGACACTGAAAGCCTGTGCTCAGAATGGATTTATATTTACACAGGCTGTGGAATTTCAAGACTCACTTTGTGAGATGACCTCAGGCACAAGGGCAGATAGGGAGAGGAGTCTGTGAAAATCAGGAACAGATGCAAAGGATAAGGAGCACAGAAACCACTCTCTCGACTACCCCTCCTCCAATATTCTTGCATTTCCAAACTTTCTTTACGTGTACTTCTCACACACACACACACTTTTAAACTTTCTTCCTCAATCCTATGGAAAGAAAAAGGGCAACTGTGCCAGAAAGCAACAAATACCAATCCAAAGACTAGAGCTAGGCCATCCTCTCTTTTTATTGGCATTTTTATTTTCGCCACCAGGGAATCTCCATGCAAAATGTAATTTTAAGATATGGAAGGGCTAAAGCACGACGGCACCCGAGGAGCCGTGTCACTGACATTGCTCTGGGAAGGCGGAACCAGAGGGGTTCCCCCCCCCCCAGAGGTATCCATTGGATGACAAACCATGCAAGTTCTGTGGGGTTCTTTGGGGGTGGGACTCAACCGAGAGCCAGCAGCTATTGCATTCCGTCACATGGGCCCTTCCGACCTCCTCAAAAACCCTCCTAGCATTACACACTTTGGAAGACAGAGAGTGTTGATAATCAATTTCGCACTGTTTCAAAGTTGCTGTGTCAGGGGAGTGCTTTATCTGGAGCTCAAGCAATGCCGAAGACCACCTTTGTTAGTGACAGGACGGGACAAAGCTTTGGGGCAACCTTTTAACCCCCCCCCAGAAAAAAAAACACAAAGGGGAGCTTTGTGCTGCACAAAGTCCTGTTTAGCATCTTGTGTTTGCATCAAACCGGCACTTGGTGGGAGAATGCAAACCTTAGCGGTGTGGCGAGAAAGGGGGGGGGGGAACGACCTCTATGCCTAAACAGAGGCACAGACAAGGATCCTGAGACGTCTGTGGGGAAACCCGGAGAGACTATTAGCAATTAAAAAATATACGTGGTTCAAATGCACTCACCATTTGACGTTCCCCATGGTTGTCGAAAAACTTCTACCCCCTTCCAGAAAGCTGAAGTTTTGGTATACAACTAGCCAGATTGCTAAATAATACTGAACATTGGCTGTTTTACATGTCTATTTATTTTATTTTTTAAATTTATTTATTTTAGCATTTATATCCCGCCCTTCTCGAAAGCGGGCTCAGGGCAGCTTACAAGGAGCAACAAGTGCCCATGCATAAAAACATAAAAACAGTAATTATCAACACAAATAAGGTGCTCAGTAAGAAACAAGATGGTCACCGAATAAAATTACAAGATAGTATCTGTCTTTCATAAAGGTGGTGTTGTCCTGTAGTTGATGTACAACCAGTTGGTATATGGTGCCACGCAGTATCCTGGCAGATCTTCCAGGGACCGTCCCCCCTTGCCCCGTTGTTACCCACGCCGTTTGTGGTGGTGGCAGCGGCGGCCCGTACGTAAAAGCCTGGCGGAAGAGCTCCGTCTTACAGGCCCTGCGGAACTGCAGAAGGTCCCGCAGGGCCCTGATCTCCTCCGGGAGCTCGTTCCACCAGGTAGGAGCCACCAATGAAAAGGATCTGGCCCTGGCCACGGCAAGCCTTGCCTCCCTGGGGCCTGGAATCACCAGGCGATGTTGCGTTCCAGACCGAAGTGCTCGTGGGGGTATGTGTGGGGAAAGGCGGTCCCTCAGGTAGGTCGGACCCTGACCATATAGGGCTTTAAAGGTAAGTACCAGCACTTTGAAACGGATCCGTTGTGCTATTGGCAGCCAGTGCAGCGCTTTCAGCCCAGGCTGGATGTGTTCCCACTTGGGGAGACCCATCAACAGCCTAGCCACAGCATTCTGCACTAACTGTAGCTTCCAGATCTGCAACAAAGGCAGCCCCGTGTAGAGAGCGTTGCAGCAGTCTAACCTCGAGGTGACCGTCGCGTGGATCACTGTAGCCAGGTCATCACAGTCGAGGAAAGGAACCAACTGCCGAACCAGCCTAAGGTGGTAAAATGCCAATCTGGCAGTGGCTGCCACCCGGGCCTCCATAGTTAAGGAGGGATCCAGGAGCACTTCCAAACTCCTAACCTCTGACGCTGGCACCAGAGGCGTCCCATCGAAGGTCAGGAGAGGGACCCCCAACCCCAAACCGGGCCTACTCAAGCACAGGACCTCCATCTTTGCTGGGTTTAGTTTCAGCCGGCTCAGCCTGAGCCACCCAGCCATGGCCTGTAATGCCCGGTTCAGATCTTCTGGGTCGGAGCCCAACTGACCGCCCAACATCAGATAGAGCTGGGTGTCATCTGCATATTGATGGCAACCCAGCCGATACCTCCTGGCAATCTGGGCAAGGGGGCACATGTATATGTTAAACATCGGGGAAAGCACTGCCCCCTGAGGCACACCACATTCAAGTGGATGCCTCTGGGACTGCTGTTCCCCTATCGCCTCCCTCTGTCCCCGACCTTGGAGAAAAGGGGCAAGCCATTGAAGAGCGAGCCCCTGTATCCCCACGGCGGTGAGGCGGCGGGTCAGCAACTGATGGTCGACCGTGTCAAACGTGGCCAACAGATCTAACAACAACAGTGCCGCCACGCCACCTCGATCCAGATGCCTGCGGAGGTTGTCAGTAAGGGCAACCAGCACTGTCTCCGTCCCATGCCCTGGGCGAAAGCCGGACTGGAATGGATCAAGGACAGAAGCATCATCCAGAAAGCCCTGTAGCTGTGTCGCCACCGCCTTCTCAATCAATTTGCCCAAATAGGGCAAATTAGACACTGGCCGACACCGGTCAGAACTAAAGCACTGTGCAATGTCAGGCTGCGGGAGCTCCAGTGTCCCCTCACACCCTCAAAAGAGCTGGGGGGGGGGGCGGCATGAGGCAGGGCTGGCGGGAAGAGTGTCCCATAGCAGCTGAGAATCTACGACTGAAGAGTCCCCGGCTTTATTTACTTGCGTGTGCACCTACAAATATGTACATGGAACATGCACACACATGTATTCCAGGTGCTTAGGAAAAAAACGATACAGATGCTTTGCACAAATGCATACCTGTATGTCAAGGCTGCAAGTTTTAATTGTTCTTACTGTAGCTTGGCTGTGAGAATACATTCTAAACCAGGGGAGTCACTAATGGGAGATCCACATAACGGAAGACCCAATGCCTATGTGTGCTAATGTGGGAAAGTGAGAAAGGAAAATATTAACAATAGCCTTGCTGTCTAAAAATAAGTGATGGCATCAGCTTAGCGTGCCAAAAACTAATTTTGCATTTCCTTCAGAGTCTCAAAAAATGCACATACATTGGGGTGTTAATGTGCAAATTTATTTACATTTAATTCATTGATCAGCTAAAAGGTAATCAATCACCTACAGTTCTCCTTTAATTGGCCAGCAGCACTGATAAATTCATATATGCTCACACTGTGCTCTTTCAACATACGCTCACAAGCGTTGGCAAAGGCTTTTTGGTAAACCACTTCCAAATGGACAAATTTAGAGCTCTGTTCATTGAAAAGGAGATTTAAGAGGACCGTAGACATATGAAGAAGGGGGCAGCGGGCCACTGGGAAGCAGGTTTTTATTTTCTAATTAACTTACTCCCTGCCTTTCTCCCCAGTGGGGACCCAAGCAGCCGCCATTGTTCTCCTTGCCTCCATTTTACCCTCACAACAAGCCCTGTGAGGTAGGTTAGTCCAAGAGCGTGCAGCTGGCCCAAGGTCACCCAGCTTGCATCCACGGCAGAGTGGGAATCGGAAACCTCAGTGTCAGACTAAGTTCTGGCAGACAAACTACTACGCCCCCCCCCCATTGTTTGTCTTGCAATTTGCCTCACATGGTGCAAATGCTACGGGGCACATGAACCGCAGTTGAAGAAGAAGAGGAGGAGGAGGAGATTGGATTTATATCCCGCCCTTCACTCAGAGTTTCAGAGTGGCTTACAAACACCTTTCCCTTCCCCTCCCCACAAAAGACACCCTGTGAGGTAAGTGGGGTTGAGAGAGCTCTTTCCAGAACTGCCCTTGAGAGAACAGCTCTGACAGAACTATGGCTTGCCCAAGGTCATCCAGCAGCTGCAAGTGGAGGAGTAGGGAACCAAACCCGGTTCTCCCAGATTAGTCCGTGCACTTAACCACTACACCAAGCTGGCTCTTTAGCATTCTGTATCAACATACCTCCACACCACTACGGGATTTGCTCACTCTGCCTGAAATCCAAGTTACAACCAAACCTTGGCATAGCCACACAAACACACGAAGCTGCCTTATACTGAATCAGACCCCTGGCAAGGTCAGTATTGCCTACTCAGCAGCTGCTTTCCAAGGGACTCGGATCGAGGGCTTTCCTACTGCCTACTACCTGATTCTTTTAACAAGAGATACCAAGTACTGAACCAGGAACCTTCTCCGTGCAAAGCAGATGCTCTGCCACTGAGCCACAGCCCCTCCTCAAAACACGTAAGGCCCCTCCCCATATTTTATGTTGAATTTAATAATAATAAGTAGCATGACCTCCTTGTATAACTCGAGATCCAGCTGAAACTCCATTATGTCTCAACGTGACCTATGGCAATGCTACATGGTCCAACAGAGCTGCAGCAGCCAGGCGGGGACCGCAGATCGGCGCCAAAGAGCAGCGGGAAAATTTTCCCAGAGCATCACTCTACAGGCTGCCATCCACCACCCAGTAACATCAGGCCACTGGCGTGAAACTTCGGGGGGGGGGGGACTCAGAGAGGGAGCAAATGTGAACAGGCACAGGCGTAGACTTCTCACTCCACTTCAAAGGGCACAAGTTCAGACCTGAGGAAAAGGAACTTTCACCGTTAAGAAGTTTGCCGAACTTGAAAACTCAGCACAGCGGATCAAGCGAATGACATTTCATGTGAGGGAATGAACACAGGGAAAACCTTTGCTTGGAATCCGTGCTCAAGCTTTACCCTGCCGTTTCTTCTACAAACCGAACAACACGGCCCGACATTTTTGGCCAGACTGTTACGAGCATGTTAACCTTAAAGAGAAGCTAGGGCAGGAATCTGGATTTTAGTGGCTAAATCAGACAACGGCGGACACTCCTCCTTCAGGGAGCGGAGATTAAAGTGGTACCAATAATACTTAGTATTTATATAGCAGTTCTGAATGCTCAAAGCCATGTCATACACTTGCCACAACCCTATAGGGCAGGGGTCCCCAACATGGTGCCCATGGGCACCACGGCACCTGCAAGACACCTTTCCTGGACCCCAACAATGTGGCCAGATGGGGCTGTTGTCCAGCAGGGCTTCTGACTGGCCACTGGAGATCTGATCGGCTGTGCAAATTAAAATCACGCTGTTACAGTGGCAGCTGCCACCACAGCGTGGGCCTTACTCTCTTTCACTCCTCTTTTTAAAAACTACTCCTCTTGCCCCCTCCACTTGGGCTTCCTCTGCGGGTGGCATCACCTCCCACGGTGACTGTTTTGTGGCTGCCCCCACCCCCTTGTGTCAGAATCCCAGCAGTGCCCACAGGCTCAAAAAGGTTGGGGACCCCTGCTATAAGGCAAGTCGCATCATGGATGCAGGAACTGAGGTCCAAAGATCACGTCCTGACGAAACCCAACTGTTAAGTTCAGGGATAAAATGAAACTTAACCAGGGACTCGCTCCCCTAATTCTTGGCTCTCATGGATATTGAAAGCAGCGCAGGGAAACGGCACTTCCGGTCCAGTTTGCTAGCCAATCATGACGTGCAGAAGTCATAAAAGTGCCGAAAATACTTGCAGATGTCAAGCCAGCATTTCAAAGACAGCCTTGTTGCATGGGTCTTCCTGTGACGTCCAAGTCAGCTCTGACATTCTGTTCTTTAAGCTCTTGGCCAGTGCACAGAAACCCGGACATACATTCAGCTCCGGCTCTTTGGGGAAGAGACCACCAATTCTCTGAATCTGTTTCACTGAGATCCTCGGAAGGAGAACCATATCCCAAGACAGACCCCTTCACTGGTCACCCAAATTCTCATTTATATCAGATGCGTCAATTTCTTTACCATTGACAACCAGGTCTACCAACTAATGTCTTCCGGTCAGCTAGGCCACCAACAGTCAACAAGGCTGGCCCTGGGAGGTGGGTTCGCCAGAATAAGTACAGCTGGAAAACTTTCCACTGCTCTAAATAAAGTATGATTTGATTATAACATGCTTATTTCGACATGTATTGAGTAAACGCTTTTTAACAGGCCCAACAGCAACACATACTTGAAACCTGATTGCTTGTATTAGTTCCATTATCAGATTGATGATTACAACACCCCTCCCGCTTTCATAAGAGAATCCTTAGTTCAGTGAAATATTTGACCACAGACTGTCAAATGACCAGAGTACATACTTCGGGATGCTTTGAGGTGCTGGCCCCATTTTTAGACAATGTTTTATTCATACATTACTCTCCTGACACTGTGTCTCACTTCAGAAACAGTGCCGTTTAGACTTGCAGCCCCCAAACACCATAAAGCAGTTTCTGAAGCTCTCTGTTGATGAGAAATCTGGCTCTTTGCAGTGGGAACCTGGTCATGTAGCAAAGAACGAAGTGAACTGTATCTGCCACGCAAGATGCACAAACTCAGTGGTCATCTGATGAATACTGGATCTCTTCTTCCGCCGAGCTCCATTTCTGGCATCCAAAGATACACAAGTGTTGCCAGGAAGAGGATAACCGAAGCCCCAAATGAGCATTCCCAACTTCCCAGTGGGGAGAAACCATCACACAGTGCAACTGAAGAGATTTTCAGTCAGAAAAGCATCTGAATACACCACACTGCTGGGTCAGCTGCATGCAAGTTAAGAGCTACTCCCACCACCCGCTGTGCTTATGGAAACAAAGATAATGCTGAACGTCTGTTATAGGCCCCAGTTATTAGATAGCATACACTGTATTACAAACATCTGCACCACTACTGACATTTCCTTATGATAAATACTAACCATGGCTTCCTACTTTAGGTCTACCTAAAAAGCAGTAGAAATTATGCCTTCACGGTGTCCATGGAAAATAATGCAACAATAAAAAATTACAGAAGCTTCTCATAAACTTTGAATGAGGGTGCAAAAACAAAAGTAAAGTTAGGTGCAGTTCCCAAAGAAGAACATTGTTCTGTACATACCAATGGGTTTGGAAGCTAGCTAATGCAGAACTGAAGGTGCAATACTCCATGCCAAGAACTTCAGAATTTAACTCCCAGAAGTTTTAATGTAAATCATTTCACTGGGAGAGAGAGAGCAGGGTACATGAACAGAATTCTGCAGACACATTATAACTTGCCCCTTCTTATCGCACTTTCTACGGATTTGATGGCCTAAAGCATCCCCAATGTCAAAGGCAACAGCGACCAGGGGTCGCTTCTGTTCCATCTCCACCCCTTCCAAATCCCCAACAATGCATCAACACCCTAAAAACACAAATCACTCAGCCACTACTAACGGCTGGGCGCAAAGAGGTCACTTCAGAGGGCTTTGGGGGGAGTATTTACAGGCCTGCAAAAATAGATCACGAGAGCATCCAAGAACATTTGCAACAGCACCTCTCTCGCCACCTCTCCGGCTAACATCTGGGAAACGTGAAACGAAGCCTCCTCTAAGTAACACTCCAGTTTTAAACTAACCTTCCTTCGCCTGCTTCCCCTCTCTTTCCCCATTCCAGCGAGGAAACTTACCCTCCAGCCAGCTGGTCGGCACTCTCCGCTCCCAGAACTATGACACAGCTGGATTCTGCCCGGCATTTATGGGGCGCAAGCTTCAAACCAATGCCTTCCAGGCGAAGGCCAACTCCTAGGTCACCAACCACCTCTCCTCTGACCTTCCTCTTCTCTGTCTGCAAGCCCACCACCTGTCCCCTGCCCCCCTCCCAGATAACCATCCTGAAACTTTCCCCCCCCCCCCCCCCCCATTTCACTGTCCCCCATCTCCTGCCTCCGGCGGGGACTCTCAGCATCCCCACTGCAGCTCAACTCCTTTCCTGCCCTTGGGCAGGCTAAAGCTCATATTCTTATCTGCTACCTTTAGTTATGCCCTGTTTTTCGCGCACATCGGGACCCCAAGCGGCTTGCCCCCACCTCCCTGCACCCTCCCAACTCGCCGGCCTCATTCCTACTGCTTGACACACACACACACACACACAAACACATAGAGATGTGTCAACACATACATTCTCTCAACAGTTTTCTTCTTCCACGCTCCATTATGCAGGGGTGGGGGGGGCCCATCGTCTGGGCATGGAGGAGGGGTCACTGGGGGGGGGAAGGTTGTTGTAAATTCCCTGCATTGTGCAGGGGGTTAGACTAGATGACCCTGGAGGTCCCTTCTAACTCTAGTGTTCAGGACTAATCCAGGCCCCCCCAGCCTATGACCCCAAAGCATATCGATGACATCCCCTCTCCCGACCCCTAGTCCCACCTCTAGAATCCCATAACCCCCCCACCCCCAACATAGGCTGGATTTGAACTCAGGGCCAGCCAAACGACCCCCCTCCAAAGCTCCTCTCCCCATCCCTCCCTCAGCTCCTGCTACCCCCATCACCACGA